TATTTGTGCCCATTCCAAAGAGAGGTGACCCAACAGAATGCAGAAATCATCAGACAATATCTTTGAGATTCCATGCGAGTAAAGTTTTACTAAAGGTAATACAGAAATGGCTGCAAGAATATATTGACAGAGAACTTCCAAAGGTTCAAGCCGTATTCAGAAGAGGCCGTGGAACAAGGGATATCATTGCTGATGTCCGATAGATCTTGGCTGAAGTCAGAGAATACCAGAAAGATATTTACCTGTGCTTTACTGACTACACAAAGGCTTTCGATTGTGTGGATCATGACAAGCTATGGACAACATTGCGAAGTATGAATATTCCAGAACACTTAATTGGGCTCAGGTGGAATCTGTACATGGACTAAGAGGCAGTTGTTTGAACAGAACATGGAAACACTGAATGGTTTAAAATTAAGAAAGGTGTGTGACACGGTTGTATTCTTTCACCATACTTATTATTCAGCCTGCATGCTGAGCAAAATAATCTGAGAAATTAGGTTATATGTGGCATCAGGATTGGAGGAAGACTCATTAACAACCTGCAACATGCAGATGGTACAACCTTGCTTACTGAAAGTGATGCAAACTTAAAATACTGATGAAGATCAAAGACCACAACCTTTGGTATGGATTGCATCTCAATGTAAGGAAAACAAAAATCCTCACCACTGAACCAATAAACAAGAGGATATTATGTGGTTTAAAATCATAAAAGTATGCATAAGGGTTGTATCCTTTCACCATACTTATTCAGTCTGTTTGCTGAGCAAATAAGACAAGAAGCAGGATTATCTGATGAAGAATGCAGCATCAGGATTAGAAGAAGTCTCATTAACAGCCTGCAATAGACAGAAGATACAAACTTACTTGGTGAAAGCAAAGAGAACTTGAAGCACTTACTGATGAAAATCAAAGACTACAGCCTCCAGTATGGAGTACAACTCAAGAAAATAAAAATCCTCACAACTGGTCCAATAAGCAACAACGTGATAAACAGAAAAGATCGCAGTTATAAGGATTTCATTTTATTTGGACCCACAATCAACGCTCATGGATGTTGTTGTTGTTGTTGTTAAGTGCCGTTGAGTCGGTTCTGGATGCAGGGGTCAAGAAATCAAATGATGTATTACATTGGTCAAAATACCTATTTAAAGAGTTGAAGAGTGAAGATGTCACTTTGAGGACTAAAGTGTGCAAGTCACAGTATTTTCAATCTCCTCATCTGCATTTGAAGCTGAACAATAAATCAGGAAGACTGAGGAAGAAAGATGAATTTGAATTATGTTGTAGAAGAATATTGAAAGTACCATGGACTGACAAAAGGATGAACAAATCTGTCTTGGAAA